ATGCCTTCCTTCTTTTCTTCAGACTTCTCTCCTTCTGTTTTCTTCTATTTTCCTCAATTCCTTACTTTCTTCTTTCTTTCTCTCTTTCCTCCATTCCTTCCATCTTTCTTTCTTCTCTCCTTTTGTTTTCTTTCCTTCCATTTTCCTCAATTCCTTTCTTTCTTCTTTCCTTCCTTTCTTCTTCTTTCCTTCCTTCTTTTTCAATTCCTTCCTTCCTTCAGACTTCTCTCCTTCTGTTCCTTCCATCTTCCTCAATTCCTTCTCTCCTTCTGTTTTCTTTCCTTCCATTTCCCTCAATTTCTTACTTTTTCTTTCTTTCTTCTTCCATTCCTTCCATCTTTCTTCTCTCCTTTTGTTTTCTTTCCTTCCATCTTCCTCTTCCTCCTGTCTTTCTTCTTTTCTTCCTTCTTCATCTTCCTTCCCTCTCTTCCATCCCTCCTTCCTTTTTCTTTCCTCCTTTTCCTCTTCTTTCTTCTTCTTCCCTTCTCTTCCTCTTCTTCCTTCGACTTCCTTCTCTTCTTCTGTTTTCTTTCCTTCCATTTTCCTCATTCTTCTTTTCTTCCTTCCTTCCATTCCTTCTATCTTCCTTCCCTCCTTCTGTCTTCTTTCCTTCCATTTTCTTCAATATCTTCCTTCTTTCATTTTATCTTCCTTTTTCCTTCCTTCAGTCTTCCTTCCCTCCTTCTGTTTTCTTTCCTTCCATTTTCCTCAATTCCTTTCTTCTTTCCATCCTTCTTCCATCTTCTGTCCTTCAGACTTCCTTCTCTCCTTCTGTTTTCTTTCCTTACATTTTCCTCAATTCCTTCTTTTCTTCTTCCTTCCTTCCTTCCTTCCTTCCTTCCTTCCTTCCTTTTCCATCTTCCTCAGTTCCTTCCTTTCATCTTCCTTCCTTCAGACTTCCTTCTTTCCTTCCATTTTCTTTCCTTCCTTTTTCCTCAATTCCTTCCTTTCTTATTGCCTTCTTTCCCTCTTCCTTCCTTCAGACTTTCTTCTCTCCTTGTTTTCTTTCCTCCCATCTCCCTCAGTTCCTCCTTTCCTTCTGACTTCCTTCTCTCCTTCTGTCTTCTCTCCTTCCATCTTCCTTAATCCCTACTGTCTTCTTTCCTTCCTTTCAGCTGCCTTTCTTCCATTCCTTCTTTCCATCCATTATCTCCTGGTGGATGGAAAGATGATAAGATGATTGTTTTCGGGCTGAGATTGCGTCCCAAATCCCGTGAAGTGAGAGAAAGGATTTGTGGGCTACTGCTGTGCATTGTGAAGGTGGAAATCCTCACATGTATAAGGAAAGGAATCTCCTCTGGGAAGGTCTTGACCCCTGAGGAATAGGCTCACTAAGCAGATTGCCAGGACTAACAGAGTCCTTTAAAGTCCCTTGGAAAACCTCACGCCAGTTGTAAGGAAGGGGGTGCTGAGCTGACTGGTTTAAAGCTCCCATTGCTCATCTGGGAATGTTGATTGTGTACTTTAAATAGTTTTGGCTGCTCAGCTTTCACTGAATTGTCCTCCGGATGTGTCGTGTACATAACTTTGCAATTTTCACATATGCTTCTGGCTACTGTTTCATAAGGGTAGGAGATATGGATAGGTACGCACACACAGCCAGACATCCACATTCATAAGGGTTAGGGTCTCAAGATCCCACCCAAAAGTGGGAAAATGCAAATAGAAATTATTTTTTTTAATCTGGGAAAACACCTCTATAACAATCTCTGAGTTCTGCAGTCTCAGAATCACAATGGAGGACTTGCAAATGCCAAGAATTTGACCTTTGCAAATTTGATTATCCAAAGTTTTAGGTCAGGGGTCCTCAAACTAAGGCCCGGGGGCCGGATACGCCCAGCCCCCCAAGGTCATTTACCCGGCCCTCGCTCAGGGTCAACCTAAATCTGAAATGACTTGAAAGCACACAACAACAACAGCAACAACAACAACCCAATCTCATCAGCAGGCTCACACTTCCCATTGAAATACTAATAAGTTTATATTTGTTAAAATTGTTTTTCATTTTAATTATTGTGATTTTTTTTGCATTACAAATAAGATATGTGCAGTGTGCATAGGAATTCATTCATGCTTTTTCCAAATTATAATCCGGCCCTCCAACAGTTTGAGGGACTGTGACCTGGCCCTCTGTTTAAGAAGTTTGAGGACCCCTGTTTTAGGTCCTCCAGCATGACTCTATGGTCAACTTCTGATGGAGTTGACCATAGAGCTGCAGTGGAAGGTGTAAAGCTTCCTGGAGGGATGTTTCTCTGTGTGTGTATTTTGTCTTTTTTTGCAGTTTGGGACTCAAAGCCACTTCCAAGATTTAAACATAGTTTCAAATTCATAGCATGCAAAGTTAAACAAACAGTGAAGCCATAATCAAATCTGAAAAAAGTTAAAACAAAGTAAAAAAAACAAACAAAAGTACAGCACTTTATACAGGCTCTTGTTCTCAAACACTCAGAAGAAATGCTACTCATTGGGACTACAGCTGAGATATTCTTGGTCTGTAATGCAAGCCAAGTTAACTTTTGCAAGTTCAGGTAAATGTATTTATTTATTTACGGCATTTATATGCTGCCCTTCTCACCCCAAAGGGGATTTAGAGCGGTTTACAAGATATATCTACATACAATATATTATTAGCATAGTACACTATCAGTATTAAATATTATATTGTACTATATAATGTATTAAATATTAAATATATTAAATATTATTGTATTGTACTATTACATTGCATTGTAATATTATTAGTAATATTACAATGGAGCCCCTGGTGGTGCAGTGGGTTAAACCCCTGTGCCGTCAGGACTGAAGACCGACAGGTCGCAGGTTCGAATCCGGGGAGAGGTGGATGAGCTCCCTCTATCAGCTCCAGCTCCTCATGCGGGGACATGAGAGAAGCCTCCCACAAGGATGATAAAAACATCAATTCATCCAGGCGTCCCCTGGGCAACGTCTTTGCAGACGGCCAATTCTCTCATACCAGAAGCAACTTGCAGTTTCTCAAGTTGCTCCTGACACTACAAAAAAAATTACATGTAATATAAATATATAATTATAATATATTATTAGTAGCTTTTTTTAGTAGTAGTGTTATATTGCATTACATTATTGATATAAATAAAAATGTAATGTTCGTTTCTGGGATTAACGTAACGACTTGCTGCCAGATTTGGACACAATACACCTCTCAGGCCAACGAGTGACCATCACTCATAAAAACACTGAAAAACACAGCAGAAGGGACTTAAAAAGCCAAAAAAAACCAAAAACACGCTACAGCACATGTGCAAAACCATATATAACACACATATATACACACACATATACACAGACTAGGCCACAGCAACGTGTGGCAGGGGATGGCTAGTCTATATAAATAAAAATGTAATGTTCGTTTGTGGGATTAACATAACTCAAAAACCACTGGATGAATTGCCAGATTTGGACACAATACACCTCTCAGACCAACAAGTGACCATCACTCATAAAAACACCGAAAAACACAGCGGAAGGGTCTTAAAAAGCCAAAACAAAACATTACAATGCATGCGCAAAAGCGCACACACATATATATATACACGCAAATACACATATGCACAAATATATACACACACAAAACACATGTAAACAAACACAAAACACATAAACAGCAACGCGTGGCAGAGGACGGCTAGTAATATTATAAATATTATATGTATATACAATATATTATATTACACTATATTATATTATTAGAATAGCACAGGAGACAAGGTAGAACTAAATAAAGGATGCAATAAAATATCAGGCTTCCATTTACTGTAAAGTTTAGCAAACGGACTAAACAACTTTCTGGAGAACAACACTTCCTGCCTGGGGGAATCCTTTGTTGGGAGGTGTTTTGGAAGAGATTGGGAGATGGATGGAGAGAGAAAGGGACAATAAAGGCTTACTTTTCAGCTGCTTTGGCTCCCATCATCTAGATTTGTTGTTGTTTACTGCCTCCAAAGTCCAAAATATATGCCTCTTTAACCCTCTTGGGCAGGCATGGGCCAACTTCGGCCCTCCAGGTGTTTTGGACTCCAATTCCCACAAGTCCTAATTATGATGATGGATTTATCCTAAGTCCCATTTGCACAATATGTGTCAGGTTGCTGAACACACGGGCCCTTTCCGTTTGGGATCATTAAAGCTTTGATGGTAATATAATTATAATAATAATAATAATAATAATAATAATAATAATAATAATAATAATAGATTGTCGAAGGCTTTCATGGCCGGAATCACTGGGTTGTTGTAGGTTTTTTTCGGGCTATATGGCCATGATCTAGAGGCATTTTCTCCTGACGTTTCGCCTGCATCTATGGCAAGCATCCTCAGAGAGAGACCTCACTACCTCTGAGGATGCTTGCCATAGATGCAGGCGAAAAGTCAGGAGAAGATGCCTCTAGACCATGGCCATATAGCCCGAAAAAACCTACAACAACCCAATAACAATAGACTTTATTTATACCCCACTACCATCTCCCCAAAGGGACTCGGGACGGCTTACATGAAGCCAAGCCCAACAATACAATACATCAGTATAAACAGCAATAAAATAAAACAGAAAATAAAAATACAATACAAAACCATTATAAGTAACATATCAGCAATAAAACACAACATTTAAAAACTCAAGGATTCAACACTGTGGGTAGAGTAGATTAAAAAAATTAATTTATTCCGTATTGGGCCCATGTTAAGCTTATCTTACCAGTAAAAAAGTGCACCTGGCAGTTTTGAAAGGACCAAAACACTGGCATTTTTCCCCTCCGAAGATAGGAATGAAATGTCCAGCATATGGACATCTTACCTTTGAAGCTTTTCTATAGATGCTGGATGGCCGTCTCTCAGGAATGTTGTGTAGCAGAATGGGGCTGGTCTAGATGGCCTTTGGGCTCTCTTCCGTCGCTTCAGTTTCTTTGGCTCCATCCTGTCCAGTCTTTTACATGTGAGAAGTTGATTCCCTCCGGCTGAGAGACACCTTTGTGGTCTTCCTTGCAGGTCACCGAGTTAGTCCTGGACAACTGTCGGTCTAGCAATGGCGAAATCGAAGGCCTGAGCGACACGTTTAAAGAGCTAGAGTTCCTCAGCATGGCCAACGTCGAGCTGACATCGCTGGCCAAACTCCCCGCTTTGAATAAACTTCGGAAGGTAAGTTTTGGGGTGCTTCTCTGGTAGTTGCATTGGGAAATATTGCTGATGCTCTTAGCATAAAATTATTCACTGTGTGTCTGATGCGAGGAAGCTGCGATTTATCTTTTCCCAGCGGCCAACGCCGTATTTTTGCCCATTAGGTAGTATTGTTTCCTTCCTGGAAAGAAAATGGGTATTAATGTTTTTGTAATTGTTGAATAGTTGAAAAATATTATAATAAAAATGTTTTATGCTAATAATATAATATATTGTATATACTGTATATACTTGAGTATAAGCCTAATTTTTCAGCCCTTTATTATTATTATTATTATTATTAACTTTATTTATACCCCGCAAAATTTCCCGAAGGACTCGATGCGGCTTACAAAGGCCAAGGCCACCAACAAAAACAGCATACAAATACAACAATAAACTCATAAGCAAATAATAAAACATCAAGCAAAACAATAAAACAATAAAAACAATGACACCATGACACATTAAAAACCTAAAGGCTGATGCATTAAAAACCTAAAGGCTGAGAAACACCCCCTCGGCTTATACTCGAGTCAAGATTATTTATTATTTTACTCTATTATTATTATTGTTATTATTATTATTATTGCATGTATTATTTTACTCTATTATTATTACATTAATTTAACTTTATTATTATTGTTATTATTACATTTATTATTTTACTCTATTATTATTACATTTATAATTTAACTTTATTATTGTTGTTATTACATTTATTATTTTACTCTATTATTACTGTTATTATTACATTTATTATTTTAGACCAGCATTTCTCAACCTGGGGGTCGGGACCCCTGGGGGGGTCGTGAGGGGGTGTCAGAGGGGTCACCAAAGACTATCAGAAAACAAGTATTTTCTGTTGATCATGGGGGTTCTGTGTGGGAAGTTTGGCCCAATTCTATCGTTGGTGGGGTTCAGAATGCTCTTGATTGTAGGTGAACTACAAATCCCAGCAACTACAACTCCCAAATGTCAAGATTCTATTTTCCCCAAACTCCACCAGTGTTAACATTTGGGCATATTGAGTATTCTTGCAGAGTTTGGTCCAGATCCATCATTGTTTGAGTCCACAGTGCTCTCTGGATGTAGGTGAACTACAACTCCAAAACTCAAGGTCAATGTCCACCAAACTCTTCCAGTATTCCCTGTTTGTCATGGGAGTTCTGTGTGCCAAGATTGGTTCCATTTCATCATTGGTGGAGTTCAGAATGCTCTTTGATTGTAGGTTAACAATAAATCCCTACAACTCCCAAATGACAAAATCAATTTTTTTGAGTGAAGGACATACATTGGGTTGTTAGGTGTCTTGTGGCCAAATTTGGTGTCAATCCCACAAACGAACATTGCATTTTTATTTTACTCTATTATTATTAAATTTATAATTTAACTTTATTATTGTTATTATTATATTTATTATTTTACTCTATCATTGCTGTTATTATTACATTTATTATTTTAGACTATTATTATTGGAAAGACACAGAAGCACATTTACACTGAAGAAGGTTAGAATAATGGTTTAATCAGAGTTGGGCATTCTTCTCTTAAATTACAGTTTTATGTAAATATTCAAAAACATTTAAGCTACTGATGCCTCAATTAATGCAATTTTATTGGTAATCTATTTTTATTTTGAAATTTACCAGTAGTAGTATATTATTTATTTATTTATTTGGAGTTAAAACAATTTAAAAACATTTTTTTTAAAATTCTGCCAACCTAGCAGTTCGAAAACATGCAAATGTGAGTAGATCAATAGGTACAGCTCCGGTGGGAAGGTAACGGCGCTCCATGCAGTCATGCCGGCCACATGACCTTGGAGGTGTCTGTGGACAACGCCGGCTCTTCGGCTTAGAAATGGAGATGAGCACCACACCCCAGAGTCAGACATGACTGGACTAAGTGTCAGGGGACAACTTTTACCTTTTTTATAGCTTTTAAATGTTTTTAATGCTTTGTAATAATTTAATTTTAATTTGTAACCTGTCTTGAGGGGGAAGAGTTGAGTATCAGTAAAATTAATCATAATAACAGCCTTGGAAAGGTATCCAACATTGGTGTTTCTGATTGTAAGACTTATTTGCATTGTAGCTGGAATTGAGTGACAACCTCATCTCCGGAGGCCTGGAGGTCTTGGCAGAACGGTGTCCGAATCTTACATACCTAAACCTGAGTGGCAACAAAATAAAGGACCTCAGCACTGTGGAGTCTCTTGTGAGTTTCTTTGTGATTATTCAAAAGCCTGCACGGTCAGCATGCCAAACCTTCAACTCTCAGCGCCTTCGCATATTATTAATAGTATTTAGTAATAACAAAGGTATTGTTGTGAATTGGTAGAACAAGGGATTCCATCACCACCCCAGAATCACTGGGCTACCAAGAGGCAAGTAAATAGTAATCACTTCCTGGTTCAAAAAAGGATATTTTCTGGGGTTAGGGATATGAAACATACTGGGCATGCTCCCCATGTCCAATTTGGTGGGGAAAGCGTTTTTTAGCATTTTTCTTTTCTGTTCCAGGAGGTTCTAGGGCAGAGTTTCTCAACCCTGGGGGGTAGTGAGGGGTGTCAGAGGAGTCGCCAAGGATGATAAGAAAACACAATATTTTCTGTAGGTCATGAGGGTTCTGTGTGGGAAGTTTGGCCAAATTCTATCGTTGGTGAGGTTCAGAATGCTCTTTGATTATAAGTAAACTATAAATCCCAGCAACTACAACTCCCAAATGTCAAGGTCTATTTCCCCCAAACTCCATCTGTGTTCAGATTTGGGCATATTGAGTATACATGCCAAGTTTGGTCCAGATCCATCATTGTTTGAGTCGATAGGGCTCTCTGGATGTAGGTGAACTACAACTCACAAACTCAAGTTCAATGACCATCAATGCCCATGTTAGTCATGGGTGTCCTGTGTGCCACGTTTGGTTCAATTCTATCATTGGTGGAGTTCAGAATGCTCTTTGATTGTAGGCGAACTATAAATCCCAGTATCTACAACTCCCAAATATCAAGGTCTATTTTCCCCAAACTCCATCTGTGTTCACATTTGGGCATATGGAATATTCGTGCCAAGTTTGGTTTAGATCCATCATTTATTGAGTCCACAGTGCTCTCTGGATGTAGGTGAACTACAACTCTCAAACTCAAGGTCAATGCCACCACACCCTTCCAGTATTGTATTGTCGAAGGCTTTCATGGCCGGAATCACTGCGTTGTTGTAGGTTTTTTCGGGCTATATGGCCAATATAGGGCTATATTGTCCCACTCTGGTCATTCCACAGATATATAAACCCCTTTTTCCTAGTTCCAACAGACCTCACTACCTCTGAGGATGCTTGCCATAGATGCAGGCGAAACATCAGGAGAAAATGCCTCTAGAACATGGCCATATAGCCCGAAAAAACCTACAACCCTTCCAGTATTTTCTCTTGGTCATGGGAATTCTGCATGCCAAGTTTGGTTCAATCCCATTGTTGGTGGAGTTCAGAATTCTCTCTGATAGTAGGTTAACTATCAAAGTGAACTAGCAATCCCAACAATCCCAGCAACTACAACTCCCAAATGACAAAATCAATCCGCCCACAACACCACCAGTATTCAAATTTGGGTGTATTGGGTAGTTGTGCCAAATTTGGTCCAGTGAATGAAAATACATAATGTAAGGGTCACCACACCATGAGGAGTCAAGACATTAGGAAGGTTGAGAACCATTATTCTAGAAACTTCCAAAGCTAGTGGAAATTCCTTCCCCACTCCCTACAGATCATTTGGGGGGCAGTTTTTTAATCCACGGTGAGCCCCATGGGCATTATATTTTGCCCATCTCTGAGCCATAAAATTCATGGGTGGGTTTTGCAGTCATGCTGCCCACATGACTTTGGAGGTGTCTGTGGACAACGCCGGCTCTTTGGCTTAGAGATGGGCACCAACCCCCAGAGTCAGACACAGCTATTATTTATTATTTATTATTATTTACAGCTTTTATATTCCGCCCTTCTCACCCCGCAGGGGACTCAGGGCGGATTACAGTGTACACATGTATGGCAAACATTCAATACCAATTTTTGACATACAAACATATACAGACATAGACAGAGGCTATTTAACTTTTTCTGGCCGCCGGGGGAGCTGTTGCTTACATCGTCCATCTGCGACGCTGATGAAGCACTTCCACATTCCCCACATGCTTCCCCACTGGAATGCTTTGCTTGAGTCTTCTTTATGGCCTCATAAATCAGTTAATTTAGCCTCCCCACACTTTAAGGTGGTACCTTATTTTCCTACTTGAGAGATGCAACTGTCGTTCGGGTTGCAAAGGCAACAACAGGCTACACATTTGGTTGGAAACCCACTCCAACCCGGGCTGGCTTCGAACTCATGACCATTTTGGTCTGAGTGATCTTAATGCAGCTGACACTCAGCCAGCTGCGCCACAATCCCTTAATGTCAAGGAGAAAACTTTACTTTTATCAATAAACCAGATCCAATACAACCTGGAAAACTCAAAGCAAACCAGTGATTCCGGCCATGAAAGCATGACAACACAATAGTTTGAGAAATAGTGGTATAAAGTAACTACAAACTCCGACAAAGTTCATTAAGGGTGACGTGGTGCTGCAACCTTGTTTTGCCTGTGTTTGTGTTAAGCTCGCAACAGTAAAGCATTTAGAGCTGCCTTTTCAAGAGGCCTTCTCCTCATTTAGAAATCTCAACCGTCCTTTTTCCTCTTTTTAGCAAAATCTGAAGAATTTGAAGAGCCTTGATTTGTTTAACTGCGAAATCACAAAACCAAAAGATTACAGAGAAAGTGTGTTTGAGTTGCTTCAGCAAATAACGTACCTCGACGGGTTTGACCAAGATGATAATGAGGCCCCTGACTCGGAAGATGAAGACGATGAAGGTAGTTCTTAAATCTACACATACAGAAATTGTGTAAATGCTACAATCTTCTTGTGACAGTGTTACTTCAGAACGCAAGCGGGAACATGCTTTTTTTTTTTTTTGGAAGCATGCATTCAGTAAACAATAGAAAACCTGAGTAAGCTACCTTCATGTGTTACCTTCCAAAAGGGAGTTCTTGAGCATTTGGGCTTGTCTTCCGTGTTGTGTTAAATTTTGGTACAAATTGAACATCCCTAATCCGGAAATCTGAAATGCTCCAAAACCCCAAAATTTGTTGCCAGGTATCTACTTTGTATGTTTTGTGATGTTACCTGGGAACGGCTCTGAGTCCCCTCAGGGAGATGGAGTGGTATATAAATTATTATTATTATTATTATTATTATTATTATTATTATTATTATTATTATACTTCCACCTTCGAAGCCCCGCTCATTAGATTGCAAGGATTTTCTGTGCAGTACATACAGAATTTATTTATTTTTAATACAGTACCAGGTTTCTGGTACTGGAGAAAGATCCTTAATCTTTCTACAGTCTCACTTCTCATATGCAACACAAATAGCGAGTGAACAAGACACGAAGGTAAAGATGCAAAGGTCTGCAAAAAGGTGGGCGGTTTGGATTTGCGTGGAGCGCCATGCTTGGACTGCCAGCATTTCACATATACTCCCAGTGGCACAATGGGTTAAACTCTTGTGCTGACAGGACTAAAGACCAACAGGTTGGAGGTTCGAATCCAGGGAGAGTGCGGATGAGCTCCCTCTGTCAGCTCCAGCTTCCCATGCGGGGACATGAGAGAAGCCTCCTACAGGGATAGGAAAAACATCAGAATAATACAATATGAATGGGTTCCTGAGTTAGTAAGCTCAACAAATATCCCACTTATACAGAAAATAGAAAATAATAGAATTCAACGTATTTTACTATGTTTTATATGAATTGTATCGACTGTTTTATTTGATGTTTTTGTTTATTGATGTATTGTGGGCTTGGCCTCATGTAAGCCAAAACGAGTCCCTTGGGGAGATGGTAGCGGGGTACAAATAAAGTATTATTATTATTATTATTATTATTATTATTATTATTATTGTATGAACTGTTCAGTTTTACAGTAATCACAAACAATATTATATGAGTTTTTGTACAGTCACTCTGAAATGGTATCAATTCCATGTCTTCTTATGTTGAGTTGCATATGAATCAGCCGTCCATTACCGGTTTCGGCCTTACTCCACGCCTTTCTCTGGTGGACTAATAATAATAATAATAATATAAAATTATTATATACATCTACATTTGCTGCAGATATATATATTGAACATCATATACTGAAATACATGAGCCCCCAGTGGCGCAGTGGGTTAAACCCCTGTGCCGGCAGGACTGAAGACCGACAGGTCACAGGTTCAAATCCGGGGAGAGGCGGATGAGCTCCCTCTATCAGCTCCAGCTCTTCATGCAGGGACATGAGAGAAGCCTCCCACAAGGATGATAAAAAAACCTTCAAATCATCTGGGCATCCCCTGGGCAACGTCCTTGCAGACGGCCAATTCTCTCACACCAGAAGCAACTTGCAGTTTCTCAAGTCGCTCCTGACATGACAGAAAAACCCAAAAAAACTGAAATTGCATTTGAATATATATTTGCAACAAATGTTGATGTATATACTAAGTGCTACATTTATAACTTTGCATATATAATTAGCCGCCCCTGCCACGCGTTGCTGTGGCCCACATGGGGGTTTTGTGTGGGAGATTTGGCCCAATTCTGTCTTTGATGGGGTTCTGAATGCTCTGTGATTGTAGGTGAACTATAAATCCCAGCAACTACAACGCCCAAATGTCAAGGTTCTATTTTCCCCAAACTCCACCAGTGTCCACATTTGGGCATATTGAGTATTCGTATAGAGATTGGTCCAGATCCATCATTGTTTGAGTTCACAGTGCTCTCTGGATGTAGGTGAACTACAACTCCAAAACCAAAGGACACTGCCCACCAAACCCTTCCAGTATTTTCTGTTGCTCGTAGCAGAACTGTGTGCCAAATTTGGTTCAGTTCCATCGTTGGTGGGGTTCAGAATGCTCTTGGATTGTAGGTGAACTATAAATCCCAGCAACTACAACTTCCAAATGACAAAATCAATTTTTTTGAGTGAAGGACATACATTGGGTTGTTAGGTGTCTTGTGTCCAAATTTGGAGTCAATTCATCCAGTGGTTTTTGAGTTCTGTTAATCCCACAAACGAACATTACATTTTTATTTATATAGATAATTTTAGTCCACCAGAGGAAGGCCTGGAGTAAGGCCGAAACCGGTCTTAAAAATATTGTTTGTGATTACTGTGAAACTGAACAGTATAACAAGTTCATACAATAATACATTGAATTCTATTATTTTCTATTTTCTGTATAAGTGGGATATTTGTTAAAACATCAGAACATCCAGGCATCCCCTGGGCAATGTCCTTGCAGACAGCCATTTCTCTCACACCAGAAGCAACTTGCAGTTTCTCAAGTCGTTCCTGACACAATATTCCAAAATCTGAGGGGGAAAAATCTTTTGAGTCCCCAGCATTTCAGAGAAGGGAGACCCTGCTTGTACCATCCAATGACCTCAAACATGGGTTGGTTTAGAACATGCAAGTTGGTCCTTGAATTCCAACACAAGAGTAGGCTCTGCAGCATGCAGTTCATTAGCATTCCCTTCCCTTCAGATGGGGACGAAGATGAAGATGAGGAAGACGAAGACAAAGCTGGCCCTCCCGGAGAATACGAGGAGAACGACGAGGAAGATGACGACCCTTCGGACTTGGGAGAGGGCGAAGGCGAAGAAGAGGAGGAGGAAGTGGGTCTCTCGTATTTGATGAAAGAAGAGATTCAGGTCAACATTTCACTCCTTGGCAAAATATGTTCAGGCCTGAGCACATCTGCATGGATGTAGGCCTTGAGATCCATCGGGCTTGCTTCCAAGTAAATGGACAAAGCTCAGGAGATGTTGGAAGGCTCCAACATAACATTAGGAGTGCTTTGTATTAGTTCAGTCTTTGATAAGCAAGACATTATTATCAAATATTTGACAAGTCCAGGCTGGGGTTGTGCTATAATGACGTCTGTGATGTGAGGACTCAATTATGGTATGACCTCCCTGTATATAAATATGTGCTTAGTTTTCCAACACAAAGTTAAAATACAGGTTTTTATTAAAGCCTTTGAGGTCTTCGTGATTTTGCCCAAATCTGTGCAAGTTTTAAGCAGAATTCCTCTAAACCAGTGGTTCTCAACCTGGGGTCCCCAGATGTTTTTGGCCTTCAACTCCCAGAAATTCTAACAGCTGGTAAAATGGCTGGGATTTCTGGGAGTTGTAGACCAAAAACATCTGGGAACCCCAGGTTGAGAACCACTGCTCTAAACTGTTGTGTGCCTTATTATTTTATGAATTTTTATGGAGCTCCCAGTAGCGCAGTGGGTTAAAGCGCTGAGCTGCTGAACTTGCTGACTGAAAGGTTGCAGGTTCGAATCTGAAGAACAGCGTGAGCACCTGCTGTTAGCCCCAGCTTCTGCCAACCTAGCAGTTCGAAAACATGCAAATGTGAGTAGATCAATAGGTACCACTCTGGCGGGAAGGTAATGGCGCTCGATGCGGTCATGCTGGCAACATGACCTTGGAGGTGTCTAAGGACAACGCCGGCTCTTCGGCTTAGAAATGGAGATGAGCACCAAACTCCCAGAGTCTGATACGACTGGATTGAATGTCAGGGGAAAACCTTTACTATCTTATCTTTGCCTTTTAATAATTTATGACTAAACAGATAAGAATCAGTCAGGGCCAGCTACCATGCCCAACAAAAGATCCCCCCAGGCAGCAGGCAGCCAGGCTTTGAAGCTACAAAGTCTGGCTGCCTGCTGCCTGGGGGGATCCTTTGTTTTTATTTTGTGTAATTGTTGTTTTGGGCTTGGCCTCATGTAAGCCGCACCGAGTCCCCATTGGGGAGATGGAGTGGGGTACAAATAAAGTTTATTATTATTTATCATTACAAGGCCATTAATGCAAATCAAGGTGGCCAATTGCAACATTCACACTTGCCTCAAACAGACAAGAGTTCTTTCTCCCACCCTGGACATTCCAGATATGTAAACCTCACTTGCCTAGTTTCCAACAGATCTCACAAGCTCTGAGGATGCCTGCCATAGATGTGGACAAAACATCAGGAGAGAATGCTTCTGGAACATGGCCAGACAGCCCAGAAAACTCACAGCAAGCCAGAGCTAGTAGAGTAAGATAGCCCAGGATTATGAATTTCACAAGGTGTTTATTAAATGGTCTCTTTGTGATCTGCTGAAAGCCTTTCTCTCTTTGTAGAGAGAAAAAGCAGGCTATAAATAAACATAATAATAATAATTGTTATCGTTCCCTGAAGGATGAAGAGGATGATGATGATTATGTAGAGGAGAGGGAGAACGAAGAAGAGGAAGGTAAGTGTTCCATTCAGTGAAGACATTGTCTCATGTCCCCTAAGATATCGGAAACGTAGAATTGATTTGTTTTTTATCCAGTGACAGAGTCTTAAGTCAAAATCAACACAATGAGTAGACTTTATAATTGTGTCGTATGTGCATCAGAGTTATTAGAAATTAAAGGGAAAGAGTTTGTGAGCATGAGGAATAGTTTTCGGGCCAAAGAATGCTTTTACTATTTAGCTTGGCAAGAGGGATTTCATTATTCTCTTCTGGAGGAAACAATCAAAGATGTTTTTAGTCCAAGGGCTTCCTCTTCCAAACAGGTGACCAATGTCTCCTTTCTTCCTCAGCCGAAGCTCTCCGAGGCGAGAAGAGAAAACGTGCCGCTGAAGACGAAGGCGATGAGGACGACGATTAAGTTGTAGGACAGAGAAACTAGGACCAGATTTCGAATTTGTTGCAGGATATGCAATAGTGATATGCAGCCTTGTATGTCTCCATGTATCATAGGTTTCCCTGCAGAAAACATTTAATGTGTTAACTTTTTATAGGAAGTGTGTTTTGACTCTCTTTTTTTGGCCCTTTTTATCATTCCAACTAAGCAGTAATTGCCCGTTCTCGATCATGTGCAGGTAACACTGTTTCCATCTCTTTTAACCGTTCGACCAGTTGTCTCCCCGGCCTTCTTTTTTTCTTGCTGCCCCGAGGTTGGATTCTTTTATTTTATTCCTTACTGGGTTTTCCACGTGAGCATGCTGTTAGTTCTAGCCACAGTTAGGCAGATCAAGTTTTCATTTTTCAAAAGGTAGGACACTACAGATCAAATATATCGCAGTGGGATAGCAAGCTTTTCGGGAGAAAAGCTGGTCACGGGAGGTGGAACAGGAGCTGAGTGAAATTAATATTACCTTTTAATAGAATATTAGTTTCACACAGCTCCTGGTCAATAAACTGTGGGTACGTTACCGATAAAAGGCATTTTCTTTCGTCTTGAGATGTTTTGGAAAACAAAAGGTGAAACTCAGAGGGCAGATCTAATGCATTCCTTATATATTTGAATAAAAAATCACAAATTTATTTGTGTTTTTCTCAAGAGATTACCTTTTCTAGCTCATTTCAAAAGAATCTCTTGAGGAAGACACAAATGAATTTCTTGGCACCTCCCTAGTGATTTTTTATTCAAATATATAAGGAGTGCGTTAGATCAGCTCTCTGTTTTGAGTTTCACCTTCTGTTTTCCAAAACATCTCGAGACGAAAGAAAATGCCCTTCATCGGTAACATACCCACAGTTCATTGACCAGGAGCTGTGTGAAATTAATATTATTTCCAGCTCATTTTAAAAGAATATCTTGAGGAAGACACATATGAATTTCTTGTGATTTTTATTCAAATATATAAGGAATTCGTTTAGCTCTCTATTTGAGTTTCACCTTGTTTTCCAAAACATCTCAAGACGAAAGAAATGCCCTTCAGAGGTAACATACCCACAGCTCATTAACCAGGAGCTGTGTGAAATTATGACTACATTTTAATAGAATCTTTTGAGGAAGACACAAATGAATTTCTTGTGGTTTTTTATTAAAAGATATAAGGAATGCATTCAATCAGCTCTCTATTTGAGTTTCACCTTTTATTGTCTTCCAAAACATCTCGAGATGAAAGAAAATGCTCTTCAGGGGTAACGTACCCACAGCTCATTGACCAGGAGCTGTGTGAAATTAATACTACCTTTTAGTAGAATCTCTTGAGGAAGACACAAATGAATTTCTTGTGATTTTTTATTCAAATATATAAGAAATGCGTTAGATCAGCTCTCTGTTTGAGTTTCAACTTCTGTTTTCTAAAACATCTCGAGACGAAAGAAAACGCCCTTCATCGGTAACGTACTCACAGTTTATTGACCAGGAGCTGTGTGAAATTAATATTACCTTTTCCAGCTCATTTTAAAAGAATCTCTTGAGGAAGACACAAATGAATTTCTTATGATTTTTTATTCAAATATATAAGGAATGCATTAGATCAGCTCTCTGTTTGAGTTTCACCTGTTTTCGAAAGCATCTCGAGACGAAAGAAAATGCCCTTCGTCAGTAACGTACCCACAGTTCATTGACCATATACACTATCGGTTCCCCTTCTGATCATTATATTCCTCAGGACTAAACAGAGAGCCCATTATTTGAGATGTCTACCTCCTGCTTTAGTTTTAAGAACGGAAAACATTGCATCAAAAAAGACGCCTTTAATCATGTCCAAACACTTAAAGAGGGGGGCTTTTTCCTTCTAAGTCAACTTTCCGAAGCAAGAGTTGGTAGGTTAGTGCTGACATTTCTTTTTGGTGGTTCTCCGACTGACAACTTTGGATTTGGTTGGGGCTCAAAATTATCTTCATTCCCCCCCCTCCAAAAAAAACTGGCTGTGGAAAATTGGGGGGCCAACTGGCAGTTTTGGGGGGATTTTTCACGGTTTTCTCCCTTTGCTGGAGGACTGTTAAAAGGAAACTTAATCAGCAAGGCTTCTTGATTTGACTTTGGAAGGACTTTAGACAAACATGTTCACGCCACGCATCCATTGAGTCAAGAGAAAACCCTCTTTCTCTTGAAAGCATCAAAGAGGCGACAACCCAGTTGCTGTTCATCTTGCTTTCCATTCGGAGGGTTGCTTTTTAAAAACTTAGCAGAGACCCAGCGCTCTTTTTTCTCTCTTTTTTTTTTTTTTTGGTTCTGGCTTAGGACAGACTTAACTTGTATTGTTAAATAAATATTTTAACCCGTAATGCGCAGGTGTAATCGAGAGAAACTATTTTTTTATTATCTTGTCCTGCCTGGGGAGAAGCTGTTGTCCCTACTTTCAGGGTGAAAATAAAAAAGGGGGGTATTTTTGCATAGAGGGAGTTGGGCCTGTACTGTGTTTGCCTGTGAATATAAATAAAGACGCCACATGCCACTGGCAACTCTTTAATACATGACATTAGGCTCCTGATTTAGTTTTGGTGGCATGGCGTTTGAGAAGAGCAGCAAACAAATCCGGTATGGTTTTTTTCCCCTTGGATTTCTCATTCGTGGCACAACAAATAGCAAGGCATTTGAGCGGAAGGGAACGCAGGTAGTTGTTTAGTAGAAAATCTGGGTATTTTTGGAGAATCGTAACGAGAAAAGCTTTATCCCAATACTGTTGCTACATTTGTGTACGGAGGATGGTTTAAAAAAAAACTTTTTAAAAAGTTCTAGAGGTTCTGTGTTTAAAGCCGCCGGCTTTTGTATTAATCCAGGTTTCTTGAGGTGGTATTTTATTTCTTTCTTCTTTATACGTTTATGATCAATTTAGGTTTAGAAAATAATGAAAAGTATCCTTGAAAGTCAATGAAAAGTACTCAAAAGTGGTAACTAGCTTGCAATATACTTCAAATGTTTTGTGCCCACAGTCCTATTGTTTAGATTGCAAACAAGGAGTCGTTTTTTTTCCTCAAATAAAATATCTTTGCTCCAATTGGATCTTTTTGCAGGAATTTCAGAGCGAGGCCTCTTTAAATTGGATTTCAAAATCCTCAAATAAAAGGATTTTTGCTCCGATTGGCTCCTTTTGCTGGAATTTCAGAGTGAGGCCTCTTTAAATTGGGTTTCAAAACCCTCAAATAAAAGGAATTTTGCTCCAATTTGATCCTTTTGCTGGAATTTCAGAGAGAGGCCTCTTTAAATTGGATTTCAAAATCCTCAAATAAAAGGATCTTTGCTCCGATTGGATCCTTTTGCTGGAATTTCAGAGAAAGGCACCTTTGGGTTTCAAAATCCTCAAATAAAAGAATATTTGCTCCGACTGGATCCTTTTGCTCGAATTTCAGAGCGAGGTCTCTTTAAATTGGTTTCAAAATCCTCAAATAAAAGAATATTTGCTCCGATTGGCTACTTTTGCTCGAATTTCAGAGCGAGGCCTCTTTAAATTGGATTTCAGAATCCTCAAATAAAAGGATTTTTGCTCTGATTGGATGCTTTTGCTGGAATTTCAGAGCGAGGCCTCTTTAAATTGGGTTTCAAAATCCTCAAATAAAAGAATATTTGCCCCGATTGGATCCTTTTGCTCGATTTTCAGAGTGAGGCCTCTTTAAATTGGGTTCCAAAATCCTCAAATAAAAGGATTTTTGCTCAGATTGGCTCCTTTTGCTGGAATTTCAGAGCGAGGCCTCTTTAAATTGGGTTTCAAAATCCTCAAATAAAAGGATCTTTGCTCCGATTGGATCCTTTTGCTCGAATTTTAGAGCGAGGCCTCTTTAAATTAGGTTTCAGAATCCTCAAATAAAAGAATATTTGCTCTGATTGGATGCTTTTGCTCGAATTTCAGAGCGAGACACCTTTGAATTGGGTTTCAAACTCCTAATATTATTTTTTTAACTACTGATGGTTTGAAATGATGACAAATATTTTGCATTCAGACAGCTTTAGCAGAGCAAAACCAAACCAAGCTTATCCATGGCACACCTTTAAATAGGTTTACAGCTTCTCTACAGAGATGTTTGTCTCCTAAAGGTAACACAACCAGCTAAATACATTGCCACAGTTTTTGAGTTTGGTGTCGTCCGAATATTAGAGTGTTGTTGCTTTTTGTTTTGTTTGCTTGCTTTTTTTTGTTTTAGGACAGCAAAGAGTTAACACAGAGCCTCTGGATAACTTTTGATATTTTATGGGATTTCTTTTTTTTCCTTCTTTTTTTCCTGGTTTGGTGGGTTCTTTAATGAAAATACGTGAGGGTGGGTTTTATATTTTGTAGAGATTTTTGTCCTATTCGAATGCTCTTTATATGGCAGTATGTATATAGTGTGTTCAATTTCCTTTTCAAATTCTAAGACGAAGAAAAAGACACCAACTTGGAGGAGTTTCCTTTTTTTTGTGCGCAACTGTGTTTTGAAAAAAAATAAATAAAAGCCATGACAGTGTTAAATAAATAACAGGTTCCTACAGCACACTTCTGATGGATTTTTAGTTGTTAACAGAATGTGAGTGTTTTTTTCCCCTGTGTGGTGTAAATTTTAAATTAAAAGATTTTCAATCTAAACATGGGGTGATTTCTTATGTGTGTGTTTTTATTATTTTGTGTTTTGTTTGTTTTTAATGCAATACAACTGTTTTGTGTATTGTCGAAGGCTTTCATGGCCAGAATCACTGGATTGTTGTAGGGTTTTTTCGGGCTATATGGCCATGTTCTAGAGGCATTCTCTCCTGATGTTTCGCCTGCATCTATGGCAAACATCCTCAGAGGTAGTGAGGACCTCACTACTCTGAAGATGCTTGCCTTAGATGCAGGCGAAATGTCAGGAGAGAATGCTTCTAGAACATGGCCATATAGCCCGAAAAAACCTACAACACCCCACAACTGTTTTGGTTAATCCTGACAAGATATATAAATTATTTTCAATATTTCAAAAACAAAATTATTTCAGTTTGGGGCCGCACTTTCTAGATTTGGGCACTAATGAATCTCAGATGTATTCTTACTAATTTTTAGTGACGTGTTTTCAATGGTTTTCAATGGAAATCCATAGAAGCCCGGTGGCACAATGGGTTGAACCCTTGTGCTGGCAAGACTGCCAACCTTTTAGTCAGTGGTTCAGATCCGGGGAGCAGGGTGAGTTCCCATCTATCAGCTCCAGCTTCTCATGCAGGGACATGAGAGAAGCATCCCACAGTAGTCCAACCAGGATTGTGGCGCAGCTGGATGAGTGTCAGCTGCATTAAGATCACTCTGACCAAAAGGTCATGAGTTCAAAGCCAGTCCAGGTTGGAGTGGGTTTCCAACCAATTGTGTGTAGCCTGTTGTCGACCTTTGTAACCCAAAAGACAGTTGCATCTGTCAAGTAGGAAAATTAGGTACCACCCTAAAAAGTGTGGGGAGGCTAAATTAACTGATTTATGAGGCAATAAAGAAGACTCCAGCAAAGCATTCCAGCGGGGAAGCATGCGGGGAATGCGGAAGTGCTTCATCAGCGTTGCAGATGGACGATGAAAGCGACAGCTCCCTGGCGGCCAGAAAAAGTTAAATAGCCTCTGTCTATGTCTGTATATGTTTGTATGTCAAAAATTGGCATTGAATGTTTGCCGTATATGTGTACACTGTAATCCACCCTGAGTCCCCTGCAGGGTGAGAAGGGCGGAATATAAAAGCTGTAAATAAATAAATAATAAAGATAAATAAACCTTGAGGTAACTAAGGTTAAATGCCAATACTATTGGGAATGAATACAAATGAGACCTTAATTGAAAGGGGTTTAAAACTAACCAAAAAAGGGTAAATCTGGAACATGATTTGGAGCAAGATTATGGCACCATAGTTGGGGATTTCCTTCTCAATGCGATGGTGAATCCGTTCTGGGTTGTACCCGAAACGTCATAGATGGAGAACCCTTCCTTCGCCCCCAAGACCCTCTTTCAAACCTGGAGTGCATTTGCCACTCTTCTGGCATGGAAGACTGTATACACTGACAAACTAATCCAGTTTGAAACCAAGTAAAGACTTTCTGTATATATTCAGATTTCAATATTAATGTCAAAAATACGTAGTATGATTTTACATAAGATTTGTGCTACATTAGAACAGTAAAGACAAATATCACTTAAGTAAAATAAATATTAAATAACCAGAAAAATAAAATAAGGTGTCAACACTAATTTGGGAATCTGCTATTGCAACACAGCCAATTAAGTGGTTTAAAACCAGTATAAAAAAAGATTAGGACTAAGTACATTCCAGTCTACTTGGAGTATACAAAGCGTGTTTAAGAACTGGTCTAAGAGTGCAGAAGAGCCTTGACTCCCAATGTGACCATCATCCCACTTTCTTTGCTAGTTAACTTGTACCCGGTGCGCTTTCTTATGCCAATTGTTTGCCTTGGATAGTTGAGCAAGTGCCATGGCTCTGCCAGAAGGGATAGAGAGTTTCATCTATGCTGATGATCATGCCATTACCACTCAAGCAGGGAGCTTTGAGATGGTTGAACAGAAGCTCTCCCAAGCTCTAGGTGCTCTTACTGCCGATTACAGGGAAAACCACCTGATCCCTAATCCATCTAAAACACAGACATGTGCTTTTCACCTTAAGAACAGACAAGCATCCCGAGCTCTGAGGATGACCTGGGAAGGAATCCCACTGGAGCATTGCAGCACACCCAAATACCTGGGAGTCACTCTGGACCGTGCCCTGACCTACAAGAAGCACTGCCTGAATATCAAGCAAAAAGTGGGCGCTAGAAACAATATCATACGAAAGCTGACTGGCACAACCTGGGGATCACAACCAGACACAGTGAAGACATCTGCCCTTGTGCTATGCTACTCTGCTGCTGAGTATGCATGCCCAGTGTGGAACACATCTCACCACACTAAAACAGTAGATGTGGCTCTTAATGAGACACACCACATTATCACGGGGTGTCTGTGCCCTACACCACTGGAGAAATTACACTATTTAGCCGGTATTGCACCACCTGATACCCGCCGGGAAGTAGTAGCCAATAGTGAAAGGATCAAGGCAGAGACATCTCCAGCTCATCCCCTGTTTGGATATCAGCCAGCACATCAACAACTTAAATCAAGAAATAGTTTTCTAAGATCTACAAAGACCTTCGCTGGAACACCCCAGCAAGCGAGAGTCCAAAAGTGGCAGGCTCAAACCCAGAACCTCAATCAATGGCTGATACCATCTGAGAGACTCCTTCCTGGGCATACAGAAAACTGGGCGACTTGGAAGGCGCTGAACAGACTGCGCTCTGGCACCACGAGATGCAGAGCCAACCTTAAAAAATGGGGCCACAAAGTGGAATCCACGAGATGCGAGTGTGGAGAAGAGCAAACCACTGACCACCTGCTGCAATGCAACCTGAGCCCTGCCACATGCACAATGGAGGACCTTCTTGCGGCAACACCAGAGGCACTCCAAGTGGCCAGATACTGGTCAAAGGACATTTAACCAACTACCAAGCTCGCAAACTTTGTGTTTTGTTTGTTTGTTTGTTAAAAATGCAATACAACTGTTTGGTTTGCTCCTGGCACGATAAATGGTATAGAATCCTGGGATTTGTAGTTTGGTGGTTATTATAAAACTACGTATAATCCCTGGGATTCCATAGCATTGAACCATGGGCAGTGAAAGAGGCACCAAACTGCATTAATTCTAGTTGAGAGTCAATCTTACTCAGAGCCTACCTTACAGGGTTGTTATTCTGCACTGCTTTTTCTCTCAGTCCAGCATCTTCCATAATCCAGATCCTCCTCTCAGCATTAGATGGCAACTTATCACAATACTTTTTCATGTCAGGAGCGACGTGAGAAACTGCAAGTCGCTTCTGGTGTGAGAGAATTGGCTGTCTGCAAGGACATTGCCCAGGGGATAATAATAATAATAATATGTCGGGATGTTTTACTATCCTGTGGGAGGCTTCTCTCCTGTCCCCACATGAGAAGCTGGAGCTGACAGATGGGATCTCACCACACTCCCTGGTTTCAAAGCACCAACCTTTTGGTCAGCAGTCTTGCCGGCACAAGGGTTTAACCCATTGCACCACCCTTATTATATGAGACTGCACTGGAATTTTCTTTAGCATATTCTGCTATTATTATGTGAGAGAGTATACTGGAATTTGCTTTGACAGGTTCTATTGTTGCTGTTGTTGTTGCTATAATCATTATCATCATCATCATCATCAAACTGTCCTGAAATTTGCCTTAACAGGTTCTGCTGTTGCTTTGTTGTTGTTGCTGCTGTTGTTATTATTATATTTTACATGTAAATAACAACACAGCACACATGCACATTAGGTCCAAGTCTCTGGGATTAGTCTCTGAAAACCTTTATGATAATGATGATGATTATATGAGAGACTGTCCTGGAAATTCATTTGATGGATTTTGTTGTTGCTATTATTATTGTTATTATTATTACTATTATTATTATATGACGGTACTGGAATTTGCTTAGACAGGTCCTGTTGTTGCTACTACTACTACTACTACTATTATTATTATTATTATTAAACTGTCCTGGAATTTGCCTTGACGGATTCTGCTGTTATTATTATTATATGACTGTCCTGGAATTTGCTTTGACAATAGACCTGTTGTTGCTATTGTTATATTATAATTATATGACTGTCCTGGATTTGCTTTGGCAAATCATAGCCCTGTTGTTGCTATTATTATTATTATCATCATCATCATCATCATCATCATAATCATAATCATCATCATCATCATCATTATTAGACCGTCCTGGAATTTGCTTTGACAAATAATAGTCCTGTTGTTGCTATTATTATTATTATTATTATTTGACTGTCCTGGAATTTGCTTTGACAAATAGTCCTGTTTTTGCTATATTATTATTATTATTTGACTATCTTGGAATTTGCTTGGACAGGTTCTATTGTTGCTAATATATTATTGTTGTTTATTATTATATTTATTATTATTACACTATTGTGGTTGCTATTTTGTTGTTATTATTATTTAAATATATATATATATATTATTGTTTATTATTATATTTATTATTACGCTATTGTAGTTGCTATTTTATTATTATTTAAATATATATATATTATAGTTTATTATTATATTTACTATTATTATTATTAATATATATATATATTATTGTTTATTATTATATTTATTACACTATTGTAGTTGCTATATTATTATTACCTAAATATATATATAGTTTATTATTATATATATTATTTATATATATATAATTGTTTATTATTATATTTATTATTACATTTGTTTTCATTTATCTATTGTTGCTAATATATTATTGTTGTTTATTATTATATTTATTATTATTACACTATTGTGGTTGCTATTTTGTTGTTATTATTATTTAAATATATATATATTATTGTTTATTATTATTATATTTATTATTACGCTATTGTAGTTGCTATTTTATTATTATTTAAATATATATATTATAGTTTATTATTATATTTATTATTATTATTTAATTATATATTTATTGTTATTATATTTATTATTATTTCTATTTATTATATTTTTATTATTATT